TGTTTCATGTTATTTGTTGGAGTTCTGCTGCTTTCCACTAGAGGGCAGGATTTTCATCTGTTTTGATCACTGCTTAGAACAGGATACTCAGTAAATATTTGTTGAATGAAAGAATGAAAAATGAATGAATAAATGAATGATATGCAGCCAAAAGTCAAGGAAGAGGTAGAATAATTGTTTTTGGCAGTTCGAGGTTACTGGTGATTTTGATGAGCAGAGTTTCAGAAGCCATTCATAGTGGACAAAGGGCTCCTCTGGAGATTCTCCAAAGTTGGGGGAGCAGGGAGGAGGGAGGGTAATTGATATCATAAAAACAAGAAATAGAATTGAGAGAGATTAGACTGCTGTACTGAAACTAATTGGAATCTACATTCTTCTCAACTGCACATGGAACATTCTCTAAAATAGATATATTAGATCACAAAACAGGTCAACAAATTTAAGAGGACTGAAGTCATATCAGGTATCTTTTCTTGCCACAGTGGGATGAAACTTGGAACTAACAGCAGAAGGAAAATGAAAAACTCACAAATATGTGGAAATTAAACTACATGTTTTTGAATAACTAAAATTCTCAACAAAAAACTAGCAAACTGAATTCAACAGCACATTAAAAGGACCATGTAACTGACTAAGTGGGATTTATCCATGGGATGCAACAATGGTTCAACATACAAAATCAATTAATGTGATATGCCACATCACATCATTTCAATAGAAGCAGAAAAAAGCATTTGGTGAAATTTATTATTCTTTTATGATAAAAACTCTCAATAAACTAGGAATGGAAAGAAATGATCTCAACACAGTAAAAACCATATTTAAAAAAATGCACAGCTAACATTACTCAGTGGTGAAGATGGAAAGATTTTCCTTTAAGATCAGAAACGAGGCAAGGATGCCAACTCTTCCCACTTCTATTTAATTATTACTAGAAGTCCTCCCTAGAGCAATTAGATAAGAAGAAGAAATAAAAGGCATTCATGTCAGAATGGAAGAAGTAAAACTGTCTCTGTTTGAAGATGACCTGAACTTATATAAAGAAAACCCTAAAGACTTCACACACAAAAAATCTAATAAATGAATTCACTGACATTGCAGGACATAAAAATCAACATACAAAAATCAGTTGCACTCCTATGCGTTAACAATGAACTATCTGAAATGAAAATTAGCAAATCCATTTACTACAATAACATAAAAAATAAAATCCTTAATAATACATTTAATGTGGACTTCCACTGGAACTAGAAATGGAGGAGAATATTCAGATACCAGTAAATTTGGGGGAAATTTCATCCCCTGGGCCAGACAGATTGAGCTGGTTGTATTGGAATTGTCCTCTTGTGTTTTTTTGTGTTGTGTTTTTTTTTTTTTTTTAATTCAGTGACTAAACCAGAAACCTAGTGTTTGATCAATCTACCCAGTAAGTGGTTTGCTTTTTGTTGAGGGATGTCTGGTCTCCCAATAGTGGAACAGATTAGAGCATGAGCGGGGCTGGCTGCATTAGAAGAGGTGGGGAGGGACTTTGTTACAGGGGGTTTGACTGTTCTTTCTTAATGGTATTTGAAATGCTTTCTGGGTACAGCTGCCTGATCCCTTCTGTTTGGCAGAAAAATGCCAAGTAGTTTTTACTACTATAGAGAGCCTGTAAATAAGGGCTTTGAAAAAATAAATTTAACAAACCAGTAAGATTCTGTGTCTCATATGTAAACATTCTGTGTACTTAGCACTTGAAAATAAACAAATCCAGACTTTTAAAAATGCCACAGACTGTTAAAAGCCTGACTCTACTTTTTGAGAATTTGTTAACATCTATTAAAATGCCTTATTCTTCAATGGTGTTTTTTTTTTAGATTCTGGATTTAAAAAAAAAAAGTTTTTAGAAATGTAATCACTTGTTCAGTTTGAATACAAGAGATCTAACATAGTCCTCTTAAAGAAACAAATAAGAAAGTAGGGTTCATAATCAGGACTGCCTTTTGGGAGGAGAAACCTAAGTATTGCTATTGCCAAATGATGTTTTTGATAATGTAAGGAAACACAGGGACCATAAAACCTTTTTGTTTTAGAGTGTGAAAGACTACCTTAGTGCCTTTTGGCACACTTGATTGTAAAGGATAAATGGCATCAGCATCGACAAATCACATAGATACAAAAATTGTACAGATTATGACACTATTGAAGGTTCACCCTTATTCTACAGAGCAGCTTTTTAAGAGATACTGTGGGGGCCCCAGACCAGCACATTTCAGGAAGAAATTCTACACAGGTTGAAATGCTAAAAACAGAAAACATATTGTGTTGACTCACGTAATTTAGTCAATTTTATTAGGGCTTTTAAAATATATATATATATATATATATATATAAATATATATATATATATATATTATTGATTTTTTACAAAGAGGAAGAGAGAAGGATAGAGAGTTAGAAACATCGATGAGAGAGAATCATCCATCAGCTGCCTCTTGCACAACCCCTACTGGGGATGTGCCTGCAATCAAGGTACATGCCCTTGACTGGAATCAAACTCGGGACCCTTCAGTCGCAGGCCTACGCTCTATCCACTGAGCCAAACCGGTTTGGGCTTTATTAGGACTTTTTTTTTTTTTTGAAAACCAGTGACTGAGTACTGTACGTGCTATGCTCTCACTGGGGGATTCAAGCTCCCTTCAGGCTGGGTGAGAGTAGGCAACAGCTGTCAACACCCCTGTTTGATAGGCTGGTTCACCATCCCAGGCCAGCCCTTCAGCCACACACTGGAAACAAGAAGGGGGGTGCCTTTTCCTCCGTGTGGAAATGGAGCGATGGAAGTAGATTGTAAACAGAAACTCAGTATGTTGAAATGGTGCCCGTGTCAGCTGGGCCTTCACCGAATAACAAGCCAGAAGCTCTGAAGAGTCCACCCCATTCACCTGCTCACCCTGAGGTTCTGGTCCAGCCAGAAGATGCCCTGTCCCTTGTACTCCCGTGTGCCTGCTCCCTCAAGGTTTATGAGTTGGGAATACATGGGGAAATGATGTGCACTGATAGTATTCCCATGACACAAACTGCCAGCAGACTAACTTGTATTTTAATTTGAAAAAGACAAAGCAAAAACAACCTTTTGCTTAGGTCATGTCCATGTTATGGGACCATATTTCTTATGTTTAGCATTCTTTACATTTCAACTTTTTAAAGGAAAAAACACACCTTCTTAGGTGTTGCTCAAGTCCTCTGTGTAAATGTGTTCTCTCTCCATGCTGCCAGTAAGCAAAATCAAAAGCTATGAATTAAAAAAAAAATGTATTTGAGAATGTGTGTTGATGAGAAAGTGATTATTTACAGATCAAAGTCTTTGTGTCATGAAGCTACCAAATTTTAAAAAGAATGTCACCTTTTTTTTTTTTTTTCTTGTTGTGGAATCCAGAGATTGTAAAAAGAAAAAAAACAAAAAAAAACCTTTTGTTCCATTTTTTATGTTGGCATGAGATTTTTGTCCACTTTTTTTTTTTCATATGTCTGTGTATAAAAAATTCTGTTCATTGTTTACTATGGGATTATTATTACATTTTGAGGTAAACAAAATAATTTATATTGCTTGATAAACTGTTAGCCTGTAAATATCCAAGGTTTCGTCACCTCAATTAAAGTAATGGACCAATAAAAAAGAAAAGAAATGCAGGAGAAAATCAAACAAAAGTATCAATGAAAAAGAAAATTTATTAAGAAGGACAAATACACTTACATTCATGTTTTAAAATTTTATATATATATATATGTGTGTGTGTGTGTGTGTATGTATATATATGAATATTTATTTTAAAAAACCAATGCAATTGTGAAAAAGCTAGCATGGACCTGTCCAATAGAGGGCAATTCTCCTATTCTCTGAGTCAGAATTGAGCCCCCGTGGCGGTCCCTGCTAACTCCTGTCCTTTACCCACCAACAGCCTGTTCTTTGTCCACCTGTGTCTCTGCCCATGAAAATCACATAGGAATACACTTGGCTTGTTTGGAAATCACATTTCCTTGCTATAGTCACTTCTACTTTAATAATTTTATAGAAGGCAAAATATAATCTCTAATCCAAATACTGCTAGCACAGGGAAACCTTTTTACTCTTCAATCTGCACAGTGGACTCTGTGACTCGGCCCAGGGCCAAGCTTACATAAGCAAATGACATGCTCTTACGACCTCCAAAATGATTTCTCCTAAAAACTGGCATCCTTCAGGGAAAGAGAAAAAACACCAGAGTTAGGGTTTCAGATGTCTCATCCAGAAAGCTCTGCTTAATTAGCTTTTCCTCTTTAAATACATACTATATTAAAAGGGTACAAAGGGAAGCTATAGAGTGGTATAAAGTATGACAAAAAATTAGATGTATGTATTAGGATAGAGGTAAAATATTTTTTCCTATATCACATTTAATACTAGTCGTCTCTAAATGATGAAATTTAGGTTATTTTAATCAAATATCTCCTTTTTCACTCATTTCAACTTTTAACTTTTTCTATAATTCTTATTTATGATGATGATGATTTGTAAAAACTTTTCAGTTGTGTCTTAACTCATGATAAATCTGCAATAAATATTTGTTAAAGTTGACTATTTAAAGAAAGCAATACAAAAACACCTTATAATTGCCATTCAGAGATAACTTAATGCCCTTATATAGAATTTTCCAGTTTTTATTTATTTAAAAAATCATATAAAATATTTTGAAGGTGGGACTTTTGTAACCTCTTCCTCTCTTTTTTTAATCTCCTCTTTCCCCCATATTTCTTTCTCCCTGACTCTCCCATTAAAATTATAGAGAAAATTAGCTACCGGCTGGCTCAGAAACGCATGCCAGCAGCAAAGTGACCCCTTTGCTAGGGTTTGAAATATCAAAAACCCTGTAAACTGACTTAGCAAATATTTCTAGGCACCTTCGTTAAAGGTATGGTCTTCTGGAAAGGAACTCAGTGTCCCTCTGTCCTGGACATTGCAAAACTGCATTTTTCTCTTGCAGGCATTTTCAGCTTATTACTATGTGATGAGTTTTTTAAATCTCACATCAGATGCCTCCCTCACCCAGAAAAAGATAACAGACACGATGGAAAAGTTCTGCTCTGAGCCCTGGAAAAATGTAAGTAATTAGAAATAGCATTTGTTACCATTGTTCTGTGTCCTTGACAAGGAAGTTGTGAGTCTGCCCTTTAAGTTGTGCTAATTTGACCACAATACAGAAGTGAGTTGATCAGCATTTCTTGATAACTTGGCATTCAGGGGCTTAAAAAAAGGTCTTATTTTTCTCATCTAAAGTGAGGTCTGGCAGTAGGCAGCTGCTGGCATGGGGTCAGCAGTTTGACTCTATCTCAGCCATTCTCAGTTCTGTTGTTATGTCTCTTTTCACCTCTCTCTCTCTCTCTCTCTCTCTCTCTCTCTCTCTCTCTCTCTCTCTCTCTCTCTCTCTCTCTCTCTCTGTGTGTGTGTTATTCCTTTCCTGAGGATATGTTTTCCATTGACTTTTAAAGAAAGAGTGGAAGGGAGTGGGGAGGTGGAGAGAGAAAGAGACACATCAATGTGAGAGAGACACATGGACTGGTTGCCTCCGGCACATGCCCCAATGGGGGTGGGCTTGAACCTGCAATCCTGGTATGTGCCCTTGACCATCAAACCTGAGATCCTTTGGTGCTCAGGCTGATACTCTAACTACAAAACACACTGGCCAGGGCTAGTCTATTTTATGATGGACACAAGATCCAGCTTCAGGGATTGCAGCTATGTTCAAGGTCAGAAGAAGGGTAGAGCCAGATATGACTATTCCTTTTCATGGGAAGCAAAATCTTTCCCAGAGGCTCCTTAACAGTTTCTCTTATATCTCTCATTGGCCAAGACTGGCTGGGAAAGCAGGATTTTATGACTGGTTTAGAGTCTTAGACCCATCATGAGCTGTTTCCTGGAGCTAGGCATGTTGTCACCCACTCCCCTATCCAAACACCCAAATAAGAGTTTTATTAGCAGGAAAGATGGGCAATTCACAGACACCACCTGCCACAGACACCACTGCCTAGGTCCAGATATCTTCTACTTACTCATAAATTTGGAAGCACAAACTTTTTCTTGTCCAAGGCACTGAGTCATTCAAGATTTGGCACTATTTGATGAAAGTTCCTAGGAAGAAGAGAGCTATGGGGTCTACTGTGATTAAGAAAACCAAAAAACAAAACATCATCTAGGGGTGGTGCAAAACAGCGGCTGTTTTAAGCTAACAGTTGCAAAAGTGAATGGTGAGTTCATTCTGAAAAAATGTAATTAACTAAAAACGGATACTGCTCCCATCTGCACTGACAAAGGGGGAAGGAAGGTTGTGCAAGAGCCTGGAGGTTTGGAATCCTCCTTTCTGAATTAAAGAAAGGGTAATCAGAGCTTTTCAAAAGACCTGCTCAAATAAGCTCCAGCACCTTACAAAATACTTAGGGGAGGCATTTTGCAGTTGGTGATGATCTGTGGAGGAAGACCTTGAAATCATGGACATTTGACATCAGGCTGTCAAGAAAGTAGATTTAGGCTGCACTTCGGGAAAAAAATTACTTTATATTCCAAGGGAAAGCTCTGTCAGACTTTCTCTCCTTACACTCATCCACTTTATTATTTTTATTTTTAAAAAATATATGTTATTAATTTCAGAGAGGAAGGGAGAGGGAGAGATAGAAACATCAATGATAAGAGAGAATTATTGATTGGCTGCCTCCTGCACACACACTGGGTGATTGAGCCCACAACCAGGACATGTGCCCTGACCGGAAATTAGACTGTGATTTCCTGGTCCATAGGTTGATGCTCAACCACTGAGCCATGCCGGCCAGACTCATCCACTTTTTATTTCCTCAGATTACATTTACATTTGGTTGGGAATCTTATAGTAGGCAGACCTGCAGGTCTGTTCAATTAAGTCACATGAGGAATTCGAGGCCCTGGAAGTAAGGTAAAAAAAAAAAAAAAAATCTGCATTTGGGAGAAATTCTGAAACATTTGATGGGGAGGGATGTGGGAATATAGGGTGGATGGGGGTGGAGTTGTGAGTGAGACCCAGACCCTCACCCAGAGCCTAGAATATTGAGATTGGTGTTATGTGTTACAACCCAGTGTTTTTTCTAATTGCATTGTCCATCTGTGTGGAAAGCAGTGTGTGTGTGTGTGTGTGTGTGTGTGTGTGTGTGTGTGTGTGTTGGAAATATTGTTAGAGGGTAACTCTTTTCTTCTTTTCCTGCTAACTTCAACATGAGGAAGGACTGCTACCCCAGTCTGACTTTAGTTTGGGAATGTCCTTCTAGACACCTTCGGCAGGCAATTGCTAAGCATATATTATGTGCTGAAAGGTGGGCTAGCTGCTTTATAATACTATAACAGTACTGCCTGTCCTTACTTTGGCAGGGGAAATAAAATGGAGAGGAGGGCGAACCATCACCCTATTTGGAGAGCACCTAGTATTGAATTCACATGCATTAACATTATCAATTCTGGGGTGTAAAAGGTGATGGAATGAAGAAATACAAATTGTCTTAATGTAAAGTACAGCATAGGTAATATAGTAAATAATATTATAATAATTATGTATGGTGTCAGGTGAATATTGGACTTATTGGGGTGATCACTTTGTAAATTACATAAATGTGTAATCCTATGCTGTACACCTGAAACTAATATATTTTATGTCAACTATAACTGAAAAACAAAACAAAGAAAACAACTAACCCACAATAACATGATCAATTCTGGATTGATGAACTAGGTAGATGACTTTGGCTTCTATTTTGTTAGCTTGTATTGTAATTAGTCCTCAGCAAGTTAGACTGTGTAGCCAATGTACAGTTCCCCAGAAGGAAGAAGGGGATAGAAATGTTGAAGAATTCAGAGAAATTAGGCCAAAATAGCATTCCCCCAGGGGACAAGCAAGCCTTTAGAGCCTCTGAGGTTGCAACAGTGGATTGGTGGAATTCTGTATCCCATAGCGGTGTTTGGTTTGATAGGCCTGCCAAGACTACATCAAATGGGAGAAGAGGTCTTTTGACAAAGGAAAAGCAAAGGCAGACAGCAAGGGGCAGGGACCTGGAAAGGCAAAGGCAACTGATATCACACCAAGGTCTCAGGAGAATGTCATATGCAGAGGAGTTGATCAAAGAATAATTCCAAGTTCTGTAATAAAAAGAAAGGTTCCTGAAATGCTCTTTCTCCCTTTGGAAGGTAGCTGGGCAGGGGTCTTCTCCTCTAATAAAGCCTATGTCCTTGTTCTCCGGCCCCTCAGTCTCATCTTTCAGTTTCAAGCTGGGTCATTCGAAGATTCCATCAGAGCAGCACAAAGCAGGCGTGGAATTAGGTGTGGAATTAGTTTTCCAGGGATTGAGGGCTGGCAGGAGCCAAGTGAGAAACAGACTCCAGCTTCCAGTTAGGGTTTAGAGATAGGATGTTCCTTGTAAGGGGAGAGAAATCCGAGCAAAAGCAGGACAGGTAGGCAGCCAAGAGGTCCCACATATAAAATATCTGTTGTAATTCCTAGTATGTGCTTAACAAATGCTAGTTCTCTCTCTTCCTAGGGCAATGGTGATGTACATGGGAGGGAATGCCTGTTATAAGGGCTGAGGAATAAGGTAGAAGAAATAACTGGAGCTGAGCTAGCGATGTCCTCGCCTGCTGACTTTTATTGAGGGGCGAAGAGGAGCATCAGAGCACATATTCACAACTAGGCAAAGGCAAGGGTTGGCAGGTAGCTGTTAATATCTTCTTTCAGGAGTAGGGTAAGTAAACACATGTATGACTCAGATGCAAAAAAAAAAAAAAAAAAAAAAAAGGTTAGGTAAAGAGAGTGACAGAAGGTGAGATGTTAGCACTTTTAGGAACCCTGAGCAAAATGCTTCCTATGTATGTATTCCACAGCTGTTTATCAAACATTACTATGTGCATGATCACATTCTGTGTTGGCTATTCTGGGCAAGGACTAAGTTCCTAGGGCAGTGGTCGGCAAACTCATTAGTCAACAGAGTCAAATAGCAATAGTACAATGATTGAAATTTCTTTTGAGAGTCAAATTTTTTAAACTTAAACTATATATGTAGGTACATTGTTATTAACTTAATTAGGGTACTCCTAAGCTGGCCTTTGCTAAAAACTCAAGGGGCTAAAGAGCCGCATGTGACTCTCGAGCCGCGATTTGCCGACCACTGTCCTAGGGGATACTGATACTCCTAGTCCAGAGATTAAACTGAGTGGCTTTTTATGACACTATTTCCTTTAAGATGCTTATAGAGGCTCTGAATTAAAAGCTGATCAAGAACATATAGAAAACTCTGATTAAACGAAGATTAATGGGTTTCTTTTATGCAAGAATTTTCACACCTCTAACATCCTGATCTGATTGTGCACTGCAAGTTTTACAAGGGATGAAAGTGTTTCTGGCCTACTAAACAGAAACCACTTCTCTCCTGGAGTTCTTATTACTGTCTCATAGGATCTTAGAGGAAAAGTCCCCTAAACAGACTCTAAACTATACACCCCTGCAACCACTAAAGGAGTGCAGCACTGTTCCCAAAGCCCTTTGGAGAGGCCACCTTTCAGGTCTGCATGAGCCGGGGCCCTCTTCTCTCTGGATCGACGGAAAAAGAAGTGGAGAAGTGCCTGTTGTACAAGAATGATATCTTTTTCACTTCACTTTCAGCTGAAGGAACGTTTTCATAACGTAAAGGAGAAGTACCTAAGTGAATACTGCTTTTCTGGAACATACATTATCACTCTCCTTCAGGAGGGCTATCATTTCACACCTGATTACTGGAAGAATATTCATTTCATGGAAGAGGTAATTTTTGTACTTGGTAGGTTGGGGGTGGGGTGATGAGATTGGGTTGTGACTGAAGCAGCTTTGGGTTTGAAAGAGGTAGGAGTCAACCTGATTTAAGTTTTGGTCTGATGTCCCGTTCTACCACTTTACCTCTAATCCAAGCTGGCATTTTGTGCCAGACCATCCGGGGGCTTTGTTGAGGGTAGCTTCAAAGTTGAACAATTTGAAAACTCACTGTGAAGAAGGGGAAGAGTGGCTGTGAATGGGAGGTCTTTGTTTAGAAGCCAAGCTCAGCATGAGCTTTAAAGGAAAAAAAAGAAAAAAGAAGAAAGCAACCTCATTGCTGTGCTTTACCATAGCGCCACCTGCAGGTATTCAGGCAGAGAATCATTTACATCTGCTGCATGATTCATGGGCAAATCACGCTTGAAAAAAATATCAAGAACAGTATTTCTCTACATTTTATGTCCATACCCAATAATGGCAAAAACAATCTACCTCTTTATTAAATACTAGAGCCCCAGTGCACGAAATTTGTGCATGGTGTGTGTGTGTGTGTGTCCCTTAGCCCGGCCTGCACCCTCTTCAATCTGGGACCCTTAGGGGGATGTCCAACTGCCAGTTTAGGCCTGATCCCTCTCACAATCCAGAACTGCTGGCTCCTAACTGCTCACTGGCTGGCCTGCCTGATTACCCCCTAACCGCTCCCCTGCCAACCTGGTTGATGCCATATTGCTTCCTTGCCACCTGATTGCCCCCAACTGCCGGCCCAATCACCCTCAACTGCCCTCCCCTGCTTTTCTGGTCACCCCCAAATGCCCTCTCCTGCCAGCCTGATTTCACCCACAACTGCCCTCCCCTGCTGGCTGGCCATCTTGTGGTGGCCATCCTGTGGCGGCCATCTTGTGATGATGGCACATGATGCCATCTAGGCTTTTATTATATAGGATGATGATTTCAAGTAAAACAAAACATTGAAGCAGAGGACCGTAGGCTTGAGGCTACTCCACTCTTGCCAAGATTGACCTTGCTTATTCAAACACAAATCTTTCCCTGTTTTAATATCCCAGTCTTCCTTTTATTCCATCAGTTCATGTTGTCTGTTTGAGGGGCATGTCTATGTCAAATTTACAAGCAATTTATATTCTCTGAACTCCAGTGAATAAGCCAATACTCTTAACCCCAGGTGATAACTAACTCTGGTACCTTCCTTGACATTCACAGTCAGATAAGATTCCTGTCCCTCATAAAAGGAAGTGGGCTTTTTACAAATTATTAATTCCTAGTATTGATAAGAGCTTAGGAGACAAAAACATTTCCACATGGTATTGGCTGGAATATAAATTCGCATCCTTTGGGAAGACTGTATCAGCAGGATGTACTAAGAGCCCTAAAATATGCAACTAAATTTATCCAATTACTCCATTTTTAGGATTTATAAGTAATGGATAAAGTAAGTAAAAATGAACATATAAGGCAATTCATGGCAGTGATAATGTTATAGAAATTCCTTGAGACATAGGATGACTTTACAAGGTATTGTTAAGTGAATAATTCTACATATGATATAATTCCATTTTGGGGGATGATAAGAAAAAACATTACAGAGAGGACTAGAAGGATATGTCACAAAATGACATTAGCAGCAACTTTCTGAGTGGTAAAGTATAGTGGTTTTTCTTTTCTTTTTAGGATTATACATATTTTCTAACTTTTCTACTATGACCATGAAAAACTAGAGTAATGAAAACATTTCCAAAAGTATTTATTATTCATAGATTACCTATATTCCATAAGTTTTTTAAAATATATTTTTATTGATTTCAGATAGGTAGGGAGAAGGAGAGAGACCTGGAAACATCAATGATAGAGGATCATTAATTGGCTGCCTCCTGCAGGCCCCACACTGGGGATTGAGCCTGCCACCCGGGCATGTGCCCTGACCTGGAATCAAACTGTGACCTCCTGGTTCATAGGTCGATGCTCAACCACTGAGTCATGCCTGCTAGGTTATTCTAATAAGTTTTGAGGCAAGTGGAAATCATTCTCAGGAAGATGGCAGGATCAGAGCATGTTTTATCATTTAAAAAGAATCCTTTCTCATGTATATGCAGTTTTCCAACTTCCATAAAGCAATATTGACTTACTGGGATTATTCCCCAAACTCCCCTACTTGAATCATAAAGAAGTCCTGTTAATATGGATGAGATTCCTGGTCCAGGACATAAATGTAAAAGGCCAAGGATCAGCATTATTCTCTTACCCTTTGTCTGATTTCTGTCACCTCTATCTCCCTCCCTTCCTCACCCTTGATCCCTGACATTCACACAAACAAAAAAAAGAATGCAAATCTCCAAAGACCTATTTATGTTGTTCTATTTAAGTTCTAAGGGAGAAATGGGCAGTCTGTCACCAAGATCCTCTCTAAATTTTGGGAATATAATAGTGAAGCTCCAAACCCTCCTTCTTAATCACTTGCCCCTGCTCCATTTGCCCCGAAGTAATCCCTGTAGAGAGCTGAATGTGGTGCTTCTCCACTTTCTGGTTGCTCAGTGATTTGGATGGGTGGGAGAGGGAGGTGTGTGTGAAAGCTCATTTAATCCTCAGACCAGAAACAACAGATTTTCCTCACTGTTTGCAGATCCGGCACACTGATGTGGGATGGACTTTGGGCTACATGCTGAACCTGACCAACATGATCCCAGCTGAGCAGCCGATGTCCACACCTCTCCCCCATTCCACTTATGTCTCCCTCATGGTCCTCTTCTCCATAATCCTGGTTGCAGCGATTTTCATAGGCTTGGTTGTGTTTCACAGGCCTTCATGTTTCCAGAAAGACAGTGTATAGCAGGAGTAGCTGAAATCTGCTGGCTGGAGGAAAAAAAAACTTGTCCAGGAAGCACTTTCCTCTGCAGTGGTGTCCAAGGTCACCCCTCCTTGCTCACCAAGGCCAGTTTTGACCTGTATGAAGCTTTTCTGGCTTTGCTAAAGTCTTTCCTTGGAAAGTATTCACCATCTTCTGCCTCAAGAACTTCTTGATGACGTTGTCTCTTTTGTGAGTCTTTCCCAAACCTTCTCCCTTTTCTTTTTTGTGCTCTGTGTTTGTATAGGTCTTAAAAACCTGCCATCTTTCATGATCATTGCTTTAGAAAAGAATAATATTGGTTTTATCCAGAAGAAGAGAGTCCTGAATCCTGTGTTGAGAACTTGTGCTGGCTAAAAGAAGAATCTCACTGTAATCTTACAGAATCCTTTTACTCTCATTTTGCATTTATTAAGAAAGCCATACAAGGCCTTTGGAGAGGGTAGACACACATCCCATTCTCAATTTGCCCTTTGCATGGGAGAATTTTCTAAACTAGGCAAATATACCATAGGACCAAAGAATCTTGTAAGGGAATTTATGTGCTTGTGCAGTTAATATTCAATCCAATCCCAAACAGGGATGTGGATGAATCATATATTCCTTGATGATACAAAAATGCTATAGAATGGAACATCCAGATCAGAGATTTTTAAAAAGCTGATGTACATATAGACATTCAGATACCAGGACATATACTACATAGTGGATGTATTCATGTCAGGAAGGAAAATATAGTTACAATCAAGGGTTGAGAAATGCACACTTGGGTTCTGTTTTTACTGTAGTAAAATACATATAAAATTCACCATTTTAACAGGTACAATTCAGCAGCATTGCATGTATAATGTTGTGCAATCATCTCCAATATCTAATTACGGAATATTTTCATCACCAAAAAATTTGACTGGAGACAAGACCATTCCTGGGTAGGCTCAAATCACCAAACTTTCAGTTAACAGGCAAGTATATTAGCCAACTGCACCATAAAGATGCTACTGAGTTTCAAAGCCATGCCATATCTTGTTGACCCAGTGTGTACTTTAGTGAGAGACATGCCTTTTTGCTGTCACGGTATTTACACATCAAAATGTGCCAGGAACTAGAGCTGAAAATGTTGATGCCACTTCTGTCATACAAGTAGGAGTTGCATTTACTTATTCCATAGTATATTTTGTGGGAGAAGCAGCAGCTATGGACCTTGTCATGGAAATATGAAGAGACCCTGTGCCTCCTTTCTTTAGGGATTGGTGAGAGTTACTTTTTCAGCAGGATGGGGTGTTGAAGTGCTACTCTGAACTTTCCCCAGGAATGACTATTGAGCTGATGTGGGGTGGGCTTGGCGGTGGGAGGGAGGAGGAAAAGCTCTCCACAAATTAGAAGCCAATTATCTCTACATCTCTTGAGTAACCAAGTCATTTTTTTTTTTTTTTACAGTATCCAGCTGAATATAAGTGTGTATCTTGATCAGGAATAAGAAGTCAAATCAGGGCATGTTTAACCTCTTTCTAGTAGTAGTAACTATATTATTATAGCTAGTATTTATTGAGCATTTGTTGTGTACTATACTCTCTATCCAGGTGCATTATATTGATTTGCTCATTTAATCTCCACAATAATCTCAAGGTAGGCACTACCATTCCACTTCATAGAAGCAGCAAGTGAGCTCAGAGATGCTAAGTCACTTGCTCAAATGATTGAGGCAAAGCCTGGCATGCACTACACCCTATTTTCTCTCCCATATATACTACTAAACAGTCTCATAATTTCAAAGCATGTACTTAACTCTCTGAATGAATACAGGGCTTATAGGCATGGTAGAAAAGGAAGTAGACAGAACACCTGTTTCCTGATGGATTTGGGATTTAATATTGCTTTAAGCCCACAAAAGCTATCATGGCAACACTGATACTCTGTTCATGTAGTTTTCACGTACTTTGCATAGTAACATATGTGATATATGATGCTTATCAATGATTCTCATACTCCTGGCTTCTTAATTATACTGCTTGCTCACCGCACAGCAGTTCAGAATCAGATAAATAGTAATTGATGATGATAATGAAAATAAAAGGTGATAAAAATAGAGCCAACAACAGCTCCTTTCTTCCTCATGTCTACATATACAAAGCACTGTCAGGGACATTACCTATTCTGATCCTAAACCCCCCTACAAGGTGGTAAGTATTATTTTTATTTTACAAACAATGGGCATATAAACTAGTATATGGCAGAGCCAACTCATGTCTCTGTCCCAAGTTTATTGCCTTTTCTTTTCTAAACCTTGCCCCTCAGCAAGTGGGAATTAGAACTCACAAGTTTCCTTCTGTAAACACTGAAATCTTTTCTTATTCCATTCCTGTCTTATTGCCTGGATTAAAAAAAAAATCTTAAAGATATTTGGGAGCCAAACTCCACTTATTATAAGTATCAAATCATGATTAGTAGCACAACCTCATCTGTAGTAGCGACATAGGATTTTGAGGCAGATCTAGGAATCTGCTTCTAGCCATTTTGAATGAGGAAGGCCAAGTAAAATAGGTTCTATAAAAAATTTACTATTGGATTACCCACTGGTTATAAATGATTGCCATTCCTTCTTAGACTTTCACCCATTCCTTTAGAAGGTGGTAAACTTTTATGTACCCACTGGGGGAAAAATCTGAAATGGTTACTTCTGTAGACAAAAGAATTGAAGTTAATTAGGGTGTGTGTGTGTGTGTGTGTGTGTGTGTGTGTGTGAGAGAGAGAGAGAGAGAGAGAGAGAGAGAGAGAGAGAGAGAGAGAGAATCAAAAGTTTCACCTTAATAAGATATACTTCATTTTAATGTTGTATCATTAAAGACCTCTATAAGAAAAATATGGTACAATCAAACTGAGTGACTATGGATGGTTTAATGAAGTGACTACTATATCCAAAATATTAGCATTTTAACATGCAGTTAATATAAAAATCATTAATGAGATGTTTATTTTCTCATATTAATCTTTTGAAGTCTGCTATGTGTAATAATACTTATTATAAATCTTAATAAGATTAAGTATATTTCAAGTGCTCAGTAGTCACATGTGACTCACGGCTACCATATTGGACAGCACAGGTATAAAAATACATTCAAAGCCAAAAGGACACATATAATAATCCTTCTTCTTTTTCTTGGGGAGGGGCGTTTTGAGAGTTTTTTTTTGTTTTGTTTTGTTTTAAGAAGCAGCTATAGATGCTATAACCTTCTTGCTATTATTTATTACATATGAAGTTTAACATTATTCTTAAACAAGCTTTTAAGATTCTAGCCCCATATTTCACTTCATTCCTCAGGTTTTGTTGCCTTTTTTGTGAAGGGAGAGATGTCTGTTATTCAGACCAACGTGCTTGACCTTTGGAACATTCAATTTGGATTCAAAGAAAATATAAGTAATTCTGATGCTCATATTTTATAGTCAAGTGCACATTTGAATATTAAATAAAGATAATATCTCAGAAAGCAAAGTTTACCATAAAATAGTAAAATCACTAATAAAACATATTCTCCTTTATTGTCAATTTAAAAGATGAGCTGAATTTCATCCAAATGGTCAGATCCCAGTCTGGTTCAGATTCTAATCACTGCTATCTTGTTAGAAATTGACAGTTGCTCCTAGTTAGCTGTGCTCATTAACCATATGTTTCAGTTTGTTAGTTTTAAAATTAGTAATAACAGCTCAGCCAGTGTTGCTCAGTGGTTGAGCATCGACCTATGAACCAGGAAGGAGGTCACAATTTGATTCTCAATCAGGGGACAAGCGTGTGTTGTGGGCTTGACCTCCTCTCCTCACCCCTCCACCCCAGTGTGGGGTGTGCAGGAGGCAGCACTCAATGATTCTCTCTTATCACTGATGTTTCTATCTCTCTCCCTTCGTCTCTGAAATCAATAAAAAATGTATTTATTAAAATGACAACAAACTCAAAGTGTCAGTGGCTTACTATGGCAAATGTTGATTTTCTTGTTCATGGTCTGCCAGTCATCTGGGTAGCTCTGCTTCAGGCCTGCTGCATGTGCCTCACAGTCTCCTTGCCTGGTGTCTTCCTGAGCCATGTTCTCATGCTGAATGGCAGAGGTACAAGTGAGTGAGAGGAAACCTAGAATATCTCTTGACACCTTGGCCAGGACGGCCCATCACTTCCATTCACATTCTATTGACCTGAGTAAGTCATATGACCAATAACATTATCAAGTTGGAAAAGCACTGGAAACAACGGCCAAGTTATATGGCAAAGGATATGGATGATTGATTCTAATACAGAGAAGGAGTGAAGCATTGGGCCCAGGTTTCCGATCTACCAAAGTGTCTCATTAACTAAAACATAAAGTGTGTTTTCTGTAAATTAATCTACTTATCTTTCTAAGGAATATTCTTTTAAAAACAAGTCATTATTTCCAAGATGTCATCAAGCTGCAACTCCCTTCCACAGCCTTAGTCAGGGTGCTCTGGAAGCTCCCCAATTAGGCTCATGTTCTAAAATCGTAGATTTTCTGAGACACCATGCATCTCTTTATTGTCCTAATTTTATATGTTTAGGATCAAGTGTTGTTAAGTACCCAAGATTTTATTTGCACATGAACCTACTCTCACAGGTATAATGGATTTTTTAATAATGGGGGAAGGAGTATCTTCACAAGCCTTTCTTTAGAAAAGTGGCATTTAAGACTGCATGTGATAAAAGCATTGCTATACCTTTTGCATTTCTCTATTTTAAATAAATTTCTAAATTTAAAATTGATGATACAATGATGGCATCATCAGCACTTGAGTTGACTTTTTGTTTTTATGCTCCTTTTGTGTGTATATTGAATAGCAAAGCTCACCAGTGAACATGACAAGTGCTATACGGTCACCTAAGAACAACAAAACTCCTTAAAATTTATGAAGAGAGGGGGGAATGTCTTGGGAGTTAAGGAGGAAATATAGTGTATTTAGGATGAGCTAAAGTGAACTCTATTTTC